GGTTCAATGTAATTACCGTTAATCCGTTCTGGTGTCCGCGGACCATGCGTCAGGGGCGGGAAAACGGCCGGGCGTGGCGCAGTGGGAAAACGGCTGGGCGCTGCGCCGCGGGAAAACGGCCAGGCACCGCGCGGCGCAGCAAGAAAATGGCCATGGACCACATGTCAGGGGTGGAAAAATGGCCGCGGACCACATGTCAGGGGCGGAAAAATGGCCGCGGACCACATGTCAGGGGTGGAAAGATGGCCGCGGACCACATGTCAGGGGTGGAAAGATGGCCGCGGACCACATGTCAGGGGTGGAAAGATGGCCGCGGACCACATGTCAGGGGTGGAAAGATGGCCGCGGACCACATGTCAGGGGTGGAAAGATGGCCGCGGACCACATGTCAGGGGTGGAAAGATGGCCGCGGACCACGTGGCAGGGCGGAAAAATGAACGTACCCCGAGGTGGAGTTCACACATCGAGGTAAATTTTTGCAGCCGGAGCTGGTCGTAACCCGAAAAGTTCGTTAGTAGAGGCGTTCGTATCCCGAGGTACCACTGTACCTTCTTTCCCATGCCAAGCCCTACAGGAGGGTTGCTGAAGATCACAGTATAAGAAGCACAAAGTTGCAGACCTGAGTCTTAATAGGATATCTTCCATGAGTAAAGTGAACCACAGTTATTCTCCTGCACTGGAGAAGGCTATAAGATATACACTAGCAAAAGCTGGTAAAGGCCCTTCTGGCCAATCTCAATCTGCTCCTCCAGAATGAGCTATGAGTCAAGGAAAGGCCCTCAGACTACGAGGTTGTTCTTTCAGAGGCCCATCAAGAGCCAGTTGATATCACTAGAGAATCAGCTGATCTTTTTTAACAAAATACTTTTTATTAAAGAATTTTGCAATGCTAAAAGATAATACAAACTGAAATCAGAAAAAAAAGAAGATAGAAAAAGAAAATATTTAAAGAAGCGACTCCCTACCTTCCTTGCAACAAGTACAGGCAAATTAGTAGTTCCCACTCTTATGGGATTACATACATGCACTTCTTCCCATAGCCCCCCATCCATTCACAGATCCAAAACTTGTCATTTCTGTCCAAATGTAGGCAAAAAGTTCATAAAGGGTTTCCAGAATTTCCGTATTTTAACCCTGATCAGACAAGTCAACTTTAGCTTTCTTTTGCTTCTAACCATCTTAATCTTTAGTTCATCAAGTGGCTGTCATAGGACTCCTTATAGAAGTTCTTTCTCCTATCTCAGATTTTTTCAAGGATTTAGGAATCTTCTTTTGTAAATCCAAAAATAAGTCCTTGCCCGGGTTCTTTTTCACCTCTTGATTTGTTATTAGCTTTCCATTCTGTCATCTCTATTTTATAATCCTCCATTTCTTTATTTTCCAGTATTTCTCCATCAGCTATCCCCTCTTCATCCAGTCTACCCATAAATCCTTCCATATTTTTATCTGTCACATCTTCTTCTTTATAATCTTCTTCACTGAATACATTTACAGGGGCAAAGATTATTGCTGTCAGATTTGTTATGTTTCTCTCCCAGTTCTTCAAAAATCCTTTGAAATGTCTCCAGTGTCATATCTTTGTCATTCTGCAGATTTCACTTTTCTTTTTCCTGCCTGGAACTTTAGTCCCCTCTAGTAGCCCATTTCTATATTCACGAAGTCTCAGGTTTCATTATTACTTCACTCTGTTTTCAACTTTCAACCAATGGTCTCTTTCCTGGTAGATTAAACAATTTGTATTCCCACATAAATGTTGTTTTGTTTACTCAATTTTTCAAAAATCTCAGCAAAAGTCCTAATATTCCAAATTCACCTGATCCCTAAATCCATTTAAAACTTTCTTAAATTAATTTTTTATCAGCTCTTTGTCATTTATTTTATATTCTTTAAGTTCTTTAAATTGCTAGTTAACTTTTCTTCTTTTTTGGGATGAGGTTTTACTCACCAGGTAGTTTTTCAAACTTGTTGTTTGGAAGGCCTCTTTTAACTCTAAAATAATTACAAATCCAATGGTGGTTAGAAAATGAGGTGGTCATTAAAGGCTTCACTGCAGTTGAGGGCTTGATGACTTCCTGTCTCCCGGCACTTACACCTGTGGGATGATGCTATCCTGTGGTTTCCTTGTGAGGAGCAGCCATCCAGAGCAAAAGTGGGCAATCTCTCATCCTCTCCTTTACTCAGAGGGGTCCTGTTTTATTTATGTAATGTATTTATTTATTCAATTTGTATAGCTGCCCATTTCAAACAAGTGACTCTGGGCAGTGAACAATCATAAAATTAATTAAACCAATTAAAAACAAAACACAAAAATTAAATACATACAACTGCCAAGAAATATTATAATCCATAGGTGTTAGCATAACCAAGAAATGGGGCTTTTCACACACTCGGGACCCCAGGCCCGGGCACATAACCAGGTCTTCAAGGCCTTCCAAAAAGCCAACAGGGTTGGGGCCATCCTAATCTCAGAAGGGAGGACGTTCCAGAGGGCAGGTGCCTGGTCCCTGCCAGCCAACATTCCTTGGCTGATGGGACCTGGAGCATGCCCATCCTGCTGGACTGGATTGGACAGTTAGAAACAACAGGGAGAAGACATCCCTCAGGTAACCTGGTCCCAAGCCATGAAGGGCTTTAAAGGTGACAACCAGAACTTTGAATTGCACCCGGAAACACTCTGGCAACCAATGCAGCCCACAAAGCAGTGCTGTTACATTTGGGACTGAGCTTGCCATTGGTCTGTTGCTTGTTGCCACGGTGTCATCTCCATTCTTTCAGAGATGTCTAGTTTGCCATTTTCCTTATTCAGAAGTCTCGAGAATCATCTGATTTCCAAGGCAACAACAACTCTGTCTCGCTGGGACTGTCAGAAACACTCCCCATTCACGCCCTGACAACCTCCCAGTATCGGGACAGGACTCCCACCACATCTCCATTCAGTCCAGCCTGAAAATGTGTAACTGAGTATCATCAGTCCATTCTTGATACCTCTCTCTGTACTATTGGAAAACATCTCCCAGTGGCTTCATGTAGATGATAAACAGGAGTGGCAAGAAGACTGAGCATTGCAGCACTCAAATGGTGTGCCCAAAGACCAGACCTCCCACCCCACAACCACCAACAGGATCAGTCCTCTCAGGAAGCACAACCACTATAAAACCGTGCTTCCTGTACCCATCCCTTGCAGATATTTCAGAAAGATGCTGCGGATGACAGCAAGAAGTCTGGCAAGACAAGATGATTGCACTCCCACCATCTGCACTTTGCCACAGATCATCAGTGAGAGCAACCAATGCAGTTTTCATCACATACCCTGGCCTGAAACCTGTAGTTGTCACCCTGCCAGTTTCTTCACAATCTTCCCCCAGAAAGGAGGCTGGATATTGAACAATCATTATCCAAAGATGGAATTCTGTGACTATGGGAATGAAAATGGAGGATCCAACATACTGAAGAACAAGACCAGATGGACATTTTTGTGGCATCCCCTCCTTTAAACCAAGACTCCTTAAGAAAAAAGATTGAGGGCAACAGGGAGGCTCCACCAAGGACACATACCCAGTTTCCAATATTCTGTAACCAAGCCCCTTACTCACTGCAATAACTGTGAAACTGTGAAACTCTTAAGACTGTGAGCTGCTTTAAGGGCCTTAATAATCCTGCTAGATCAGAGCAGGACCCCTGGGGAGGTGGCAAACTAGCACCTCTGTCAAGGCGGCTGGAACCTTCCCACCCTTCAGTATGGCACTGACTATAGCCCAGATCTGCTGCTTTAGCTAACCAGGAGGCAGACGTTCTATGGAAGGAAAGCCTTGCAGCAGCCAGCATGAGCTCTTCCTTCCCTTTGTTTTCTCCCCTGGAACTTTAAGGCAGCCTGAAGAGCACTGGGCCATACCTGGTTTCCAATTATAAGAGGAAAATGCTGATAGCACCAGAGTGTGGGTGTGTAGGTGTGTTTGGAGGAAGATTTTTGTTGTGTGGGAGTGCAGCTGTCAGCTCGACAGGCAACTGATGGTGAAGGAGGAGCAGGCTTGGATTTCAGCAAACCAACAGCAGACAAACTGAAAGGGAAAGCAGAACCCAGCAGCCTCAGCAGCCCAGCAGAGATGCTGGGAGCTGTCAGCCAGCCAGCAGCTGGTAAAGCACCTCCCTTTTCCCACCCAGGGCAGACTAAGAGACTACCAAGCCAAGGCTTCAGCAGCAATTCAGAAAGGCAGCTGACAGCAACAGAAGCCAACTAACTTGGCTGAATGGTGGCTAAAGACTGTGTTATAAGCTCAGGCAAAAAAGTAGAATAGACTTGTTCATAGGACTGTTTGGAAATTAGACAAACGTATAAGCATAGGCATAGATATAAGTACAGTATAATATAGCATAGATTTGATAAGTGTTAAAATAGAGATTAGGAAGTTTGTTAAATTTGTATATAATTAACGTCTCACTGGAACCACAGGGAAGATATCAACAGTTTCTTTCTTGGTGGTCTGTACTATTTCTCAAAAGAACCCCCTTACAGTGGAAGAGCTCACATCACTGAGGAATCTGTCCACTTCCTAGAGATTCACAGGCTTAACACCCTCCCACCCAGGTAGCATCGTAAGACATTTCCTCTGTCCCCTCATCCTGCCCATCCAGCTTCCAACCTGGAGGAAACGCCACTGACTTAATCCATAAGGTGATTGGCCAGATGATCTTTACCTTTACCTGCTGGGTCCTCCTGTCCATTGTTCCCTAGCTAGGTCCCTGTTTTTTCTAAACAGTACAACTGACTGCCATTCTGCTGATGCAATTAGATGAGAGAAATAATTCTGCTTTGCCACCTTATCACCCCAAAGTAAGCTCAAACTTGAGGTCGTATCTGGGTCTGGTCATATTCACATCTCAACTTTCACCAGAGTTGCTTCAGGCATTTTTCATCAGTTTCATTCCTGCAAACCAAGCTGCCCTCCAGGATCTGCAGATGAGGAGAGGCCATTCCAGGGCAAACTCTGGGTTGCCACCATTTTCCAGAGGCTAACCAGATGCCCAACTGAGCTGCCCTCCAGGTCTCTCAGAAATTCCCCAAGTGCACCTGGGGCAGCCCACCTTAATCAGACAGATCTCATTGTAGATGGTAATGCCTCTGGTTAAAACCCATGGTCATGAGAATACCATCTGTCTGTGCAGCCAGCAACGTGGGTCACCCCAACATGTTAAGTTCATGCTTTTCATAATGGCCATGAAACCCCAAGCCACCTCCAATCCCTAGGCTGGGCAAGTCCACAACCATCCCTGCAACGTGATCTGCAGCTTGTCCCTTAGGCCTAGACTGGCAAGTAGGGCTGCATGTCCACTGACCTGTGGAACAGCCCTCCTCGCAACTGATAGAGTCTCTTGATACTTGCCACTCTTCCTTCCCAGTATGAAACTAGTGTTAACACCCCAAACCCACACCAACAGATCGTAATAAGGCAACCTCCCTGTTCCCATGTAGCTAGAGCTCTTAGTTATTTATTTATTCATTCACTTATTTAATATATTTATATGGCTTCCCACCTCATATACATGACTCTGGGCATCTAATAACCAAAAACAAAATAAAAACAGGATGAAACAACCAAAATTTAAAAAGTAACACCAATAGCATAAAAGAGCTGCTGAGAACATTCATAATGTCCTGCATTCAAATTAACCATGAAATGGGCTCACTCATACTGCTAGGGCCCCAGACTAGATGGCAAAGCCAAGTGTTTACACCTTGAGAAAGGCCAGCAGGGTCATGGCTAGTCTAATAATGCAAGTTATGTGTGCCAGATACATCCTCCCATTCAGGATGAGGCTAGATTTATTACCAACAGATGTGGAAGACTTCCAGCGATCTGAGGCCTGGCTCTTCCATGGAGAATGGGTATTCAGAAGCAGAGGTTGGCAACACGTAGCCAAGCTCACTCACCCAGGAACATCCTGCCCCCAGCACACTTCCCCTTCCCCATCACTTCCCTTATCCTTCCCCACTCTCCCAATTGCTAGGAGATACCAGACAACAAACTCACAACACACCCCACTTCATTTACTCTATGAACAGGTGGCTACCTCAATTACAGCCCTCAATCAATTTTTTATCCTTAATTTCCAGCAGTTTCCTCAACTCCCTCCTCACTGGCTATTACCCAGGGCCTGGTTAAAGCAATTCCCTAACCCCAGTGAGGGGGTCCTCCTCTCAGGCTCTTTGCCTCTCTCCTGGAGAGTGGAACATTTATTTCTTCCATCCTCAGACATCCCCCCAAGGATTTCTCCCCTCTTGATTTCAAACTCCAGACAAAACAAAGGATGGCTGAGACCAATCTTCCTCTGCCAGATTTTCTGGGCCTCCTCTGGCTGGTAGAGTTCGCACATTCTCAACCAAATGCTTTTTCCTCTGACCCTTCCACCCTGCTCCATCCTCTTTCTTTGACATCTGTCTCACCACCTTCCTTCTGGATCTTAGTCCCTGCCCCCTGTCTAATGCTTCCTCCCTTTCCCACTCTTGCTTAGAGCATCGCAGCTACCACTGATCTCTACATCTTCCTGTCCCCATATCCACACCGGCACCCATGGGAAGTGCAGTGGGTCAGCCATGAGAAGGGAAGAGAGGACAGAATCTACCTACCTTGGGGGGGTGAAGCAGCAGTTGGTGGAAGTCCTTCAGGCGTGGCTCTATGCCCCGCAAGACGCTGCTACTGACAGTGTGAAACTTTTCAAATCCCTGAGAGAAGGAGTCCAAAAGCCCTTCCAAGCTGTGGGTAGAAAGACAAGCCAAGTTCAACATCAGAAACAAACTATCTTCAGACCTTAGGGCAGGCTTCAATTCCACAGCCACCTCCAAGTTTATTTATTTAGTTTAATTTAAATTAATTTTATTTAATTTCTCACCTGTGGAAAGCAGCATGGTGCCAAATAATTAAAAAAGAAAGAAATGATAAAGCAGAGAAACAGCCATTTTAGACCTTCTTTGGGTTTTTTTTATGTTTTGTTTTGGTTTTTTGGGCGCTTCAAGTCAGAGTTTTCTCTGTACCATTTCTGAAGTGGTTTGCCCTCACCTTCTTCCCAGGGCTGGGAGAGAGGGACTGGCCCCAAATCATCCAGCTGGCTTTGTGCCTCAGGCGGGCCAGAATCTCTGGTTTCCCCACTGCTAAGCCAACACCTTAACCATTAGATCAAACTGGCTCTCTTTTCAAACCAATGAAATGCAGCGAGTTGTACCTGAAACCAGAATTATCTATCTCACAGACTAAAGCCCCACAGAGGGCTCAGCCTTAATCCCTTTGAAAGCCACTAGGCAGAATCTCTTGTGGCAAGATAGCAAGTTGTGCACGAAGTGAAAAATCCACCTTTTGCCCCAACAAGTTCTGGTCGTTTAAGGGAGGCCCATCTACTTTTGTCCACAGGATGCCTAGTTTTACCCACTCTGCCAGCTCTTACTTTCCTCACCCTTTTTCCTAAACTAAAGACTAACAGGAACAATTTTGTAAATTAAAATATTGTAGCAAACAAACCAATGGTGTATCCCTGCCATTAAATGAAGATGTTGAGTACCAGAGAGCTTCTGCAAGGTCAGCAGAGCAAATGTACCTTTGGGTGGTGGAGAAAGCCATGTTTGAGGGCAGCATACAAAGCTCAGGAGACTCAGCAGACCCGTATCAGAGACAGGGCAGCTCCCAAACAGGTCAGGCATTATGGCTACTTTGTTCATTGGTCCAGTTCAGTTCATTTCGGCCTTCAGCCAGCACAAAAGGTAAACCAGATACACTGGAGGAGAAAGCACTCCTGCCCTGCCCTGCCCTGCCCTGCCCTGCCCTGCCCTGCCC